AGCCAAGGGAAATGTGAAAATTAAATTATATAATATTGCATTGCCATCCATTTGGGAGCTATGTTTCAAGTTTCAAGTCTCTAGCTCATCGGGAACTTAGTATAAAATTGATTGCAAAATTTGTACCAGACAAGAAATAAGCGAGCTAATAAAAAACGTTTTAAATAATATATAATTCTGAGCAATTTGCAGACAAAACTCTAATTTTATTTATGAAGATTTATTGTTTGTTTGTTTACTCTATTACTGAATTATTAATTATAATTATGAATCTTTGATTCTCAATTCTCATTACTGTATAGATGATGTTTGCATTACCACAAAGTTATTGGTTTTTGTTCTGTCATACTGTTCAATGCAAACACAAGGTTGCCTGCATATTCCAACCATGGTAAGTGTGTGTAACTTATTCAGTTATGGGCTAGTTTGACTAGCCAGAAAACCGGGCTGACACTAACAATGACAGTTTTTTACTTTCCTAACCCTATTTTCACAAGGTCAGTTTGTGTGGTATATTTTCCAGGGCGGCTATTTCAGTGACATCCATATCCATGTTAATCAGACACAATAACAAACACTGAAATTCTTCAAAAATATTGATCAAAATGGTTCCTTGTGCTGGAAATATGTAAACACCTTACCTACTCTATGTTAAAAAAATCTAAAATCGTATAACTCATTGAGCGAAGCTCTTATACGTCGACTCTTATGCATTTCGTAATACGCAATCTCCTCCAAGACGGCTGAAGTAATCATTTTCAAATTTTGCATGGTGATAAAGACCATATATCGGTGAGTGCTAACAACTATATGGTGTTAAAAAAACTCTCTAAGGAATCCCCCCCACTGGCTCTAAAAATTTTTATGTAATCTTTATGGACGCAGTATTTGACACAAAAACAAAGACACAAGATCAGCTGTTGACGTATTAAAGGACTTAACTGAAACGGCTACTTTAAAAAAGGTCGTAGGTAAAAGGAATTACTGTAACTGTTATCACCGATATTAGAACAGAAACGGTATGGTTCATAAACATAAAAAATGACGTCACTAGCTTTTTATTATAATAATAGTTGTTTTATTACAAATCCAGTTATTTTATTATAATAAACCTTTTAATTGGAAGTCAACTATACTTTTTATACTAAATAAATTGTTTTTAATTTAATTCCCTCATCAGTAGATTGAAATATATATAAACTAGCTGTACCCGCGGGCTTTGCCCCGTTTAACTTCACAAGTGAGCATGTTCGCATGGCTCAATCACGTCCTGGTTGAAGTTCGTTCGCTACACTCACTCACCTTTAGGTTGGAGCTCGTTCGCTCCGCTCACTCACCTTTTGGTTGCAAATTGGCTGTAGTCATAAATTTAAAAAAATAATAGTGCTGCACCCTGTTGGTAATCCTTGTAACTTTAATGCTATTGAACATCACAGAACAGAACCAACTTGTTTAATTGAAACAGCTGTTAAGAAATTCCTTTTAAATATGAAAAATCATAAGGTTATCATGGGAAACTCCAGAGCCACTGGGGCGGAGCCCGAAAGCCCGATCAGAATAAAAACTACTTAGTTTTCCTATTTAATGCCCAAAGAATCGGTGTACCGAATTTCAGCCTCCTAGGTAAATGGAAAGTGGGAGAATTAGTGATGAGTGAGTGAGTGAGTGAGTCAGTCAGTGAGGGCTTTGCCTTTTATATATTTAGATAGTCACACAATGTCCACAAAATGTCAATATCAAGCAGCTGATTCGAATCCTACGTGGTGTTTTCTAGTTATGTTTAATTTTTTTACTCGTATTATGGATACTAGTACCTGGGGACCGAGCTTTGCTCGGGAAAAGTCATTAGTTCACTCTGAAAGCAGTCTTAGTATTGGAGATACATAAATCTATTCCCAAACTCCACACGGCTCGCCTTTACTACGTCCTACACCATTTCCTACGTCTTGGACCTGTTTTCCTCCCTTCCCATAGCATTTTAAGATTGCAGATACCTCAATCTAATCCTCATAGACAGTTCCCACACTCCGGACTACTCGCCTTGACTACTTCCTTCACCACTTCATACGTCACGGACATGTTTCCCTCCATTCCCATAGCATTTTAGGATTGCCCATACCCTTATCTAATCGTCATAAACAGTTCCCACACTCCGGACTGCTCGCCTTTTGACTACTTCATTCATCACTTCCTAAGTCACAGACCTGTTTCCCTCTATTCCCATAGCATTTATGATTGCCTTTACTACTTCCTTCACCACTTCCTACGTCGCGGATCTGTTTCCTTCCCTTCCTATAGCATTTTAAGAATTGCAGATACCTTAAGCTAATCATCATAAACAGTTCCCACACTCCGGACAGCTCGCCTTGACTACTTCCTTCACCACTTCCTACGTCACGGACCTGTTTCCCTCCCTTCCCATAGCATTTTAGGATTGCAAATACCTCAATCTAATCGTCATAAACAGTTCCCACACTCCCGACTGCTCGCCTTGACTACTACCTTCACCACTTCCTACGTCGCGGACCTGTTTCCCTCCCTTCCCATATCATTAACTACTTCCTCACCACTTCCTACGTCGCGGGCCTTTTTCCTTCCCTTCCTATAGCATTTTAAGAATTGCAGATACTTTGATCTAATCGTCATAAACAGATCCCAGACTTCGCACTGCTACCCTTGACTACAATGTATCGAGTAATCTTCAGTATAATCTTTGCTAGATATTAACATGTGATGTTTTACCTTTTGTACTGTATTTGTAATTTGTTGTATACTGTGGGTAGTTGGCTTATTATGAACACATGCTACAATTTCAAGTATGTTGTTTACTTTTTACTTGTTATTTAATTCAGCCAACATGGTTACCTAGCAACCCATAAGACTAATGTTAAAAAAAAATTGATTTTCAGTTGCATTTTTCTACGTAATTAAATTTTTTTTGGCAGTTCTAACTGCAGTAAACTCGTTTTTATGCCAGAAATAAACTATTTACAACATTTGAAGAAAATCGTCGGAGCCGTTTTCGAGATCTTGGTGCAAGCATACATACATACATACAAGCAAACCTTGCTCGTATTAGAGTATAGGATAATAAAAAGTGTTCCAATAGTTACATGAATAACGAAACCCGGTTCTTATAAAAAAAAGTTGACCCATAAATTGAACTAGGTATATGTTGCTCGAAATCGAGCAATCGCAAAGAAGTACATAAAGGAGTTATTTAAAAAGAAATAACTTGTTTAAGAATAAATATAATATAAGTTATAAATTCCGATGAGTTTAAAAGAGTCAACCCAAAGATTACGTAACTAATAATAATACTCACAATGTACTTACCAGTTCAACATAATCAACATTTCTTGTAAATATTTTATCATGTTTCAAAAGCTGATCTGGCTTTTAGCATGGTGGAAGGAAAAAACATAGGTGTGCTATTCCCGTCATATTCTGACGTCACTTGGATTGCAAACAAAAGATCACCTGATTATAACTGTCAAATTAGTATATGTATTTGTTTTGATTTGGTTGTTATTGTTTTTATAATGTGTGTTTTTATAAAAAAAAACATTAACAATCAAATCAAAACAAATACATACTAATTTGACAGTTACAATCAGGTGATCTTTTGTTTGCTATACAAGGACGGGAATAGCACACCTATGTTTTTTCCTTCCACCATGGGCTTTTAGTGTGTTGTAGAAAAGTTTCCCACTTATAGTCGCAATAGGTTCTCCATGTTGGTCTTTGTCAATGATAATGTAGTTTGCGTGGTATCACCCATTGTCGCCAGTACGTTTACAAATTTCAGTCTTTATTTTAATAGCACCAAATAACCATTAACTACCTGATTTTCTGCATAACCTCTCTGTCACAATTTTACAATTAACATATGTTCTTCTTCTCACTTTAAATTTCTGACAACAGCTGGAGTTTCATAACAATGTTTGTTTCCCATGTTAATCTTATGGAGAAATACAAAACTTTAAAGGGCCCCAGGTCCTCACTCTCTAATTATTTCCCTAAAAAGAAAGTTTCTTGCACAACTTCACGTTATGCTCTTTCCAATGACACCAAAAACATGTCAATCGGTTCAGTAATTTCAAAAGTAATTGTCACAAAAAACCTGCTTGCGTATTTAATAAGTATAGATTTAACCCTTAGAGTGCCAGGCGAGAAATAAAAGTAACGCTCAAAAAATGCCGATGATTATTCCCGAAGGTCGCGCTTAAAATGCCGAGCGCGATCTGGCGATTTTTAGGTTAAAATTTCGTAAAAATTGAATTTTCGATATTTCGACCAACGAAAATCGATGTATCGCATCTAGTAACTTTCGACTCAATGTTAATATATGGGTTAAAAGAATCCGAGTATCCATTCGGTTGTTATGACAACTGTTCGATCATTACGAAACGTCCGGTCAGCCGGACGTTGGCACTTTTGGCTCGTTCTAAAAACGTCCGGTCGGCCGGACGTCAGCACTTTTGGCTCGTTTTAAAAACGTCCGGTTCCCTGGACGTTGGCACTCAAAGGGTTAAAAAAATTAGGTACATCAATCTCCTTAAAACCAAATCACAAATCCTTCAATCACTCAAAAGTCACAATAAATCATTAATAAAAACACAAACATTAGCTGTTATAAACTCTAGAATATTGTTATGCCTTTTTAATAGTGTGTCATCAAAATATATAAAAAACAACATTTCATTTCATATAATTTTATTCATTTCAGTACATCAATACAGGAATAGCAATCTATACTATATAAAGTTGGAAATGCTTAATTTACCAAGTATCGAAATATAAGAAGGTTTCTACTGACTTATACAATCCCCGCCCATAGAACAGGCACCCTGCTAGTTAAATATCAAGATATCTCTTGTTACCCAAGACAAGGTAAGTTAGTGAAAGTAATCATTTTAACAAACATAATAAACAGTATTTTTTTTTACCAGGCAGAAGTACAAACAAATATTAAAAATGTAAGAAAAAATCTTCATAAAAACAATAAAATTATCTTAATTTAATAATCTAAATGAGAAAAAAATGTAAATACTGATGTTCAAAATAAATGTTAAACTAATCAACATAATGGATCCAAACTGATTTGTCTCCACTTCTTCAGCCTCCTCTTCCCCAACCTCCATGCCTCCATCGCCATCCACCCTGTCATCAGGCCTGGATAGTGGATATAACAGAACAAAAATTAATAATTAAAACAGTATTCTGAACAAAGAGTCTTTTTATGCATACTTCTATCATTATTTAATGTGGGCTACTCAGTGGCGTACTGAGGGGGGGGGGGAGGGCGGTTTGCACCAGGCCCCACACCAACATAGGCCTCCAAATCAGGGCCGTATTCCCCTAACAGTGGACAATGCGATTGCCAAGGGCTTCGGCCTGGGAAGGGGACTCACTTGGGGCCTCAAAAGAATGCTTTTTCTCTTGGAAAATAAATTTTCCCACAATCTGTTAGAATTAGGGGGTACAATAATCCAAGTTTGTCTTGTATTCTCATGATAGCCGAAAGCGTCTGCAAAGATTGCGTGATCGAAATTTACGACAACCAGCGATCGCGGGTGACGATAATCAGGCCTCGCAACCGCGAAAGATGTTCACGATTGCACCGAGGATGCCCACAATTTTAACCATTGGCGACCTTGGGAGATGAAGATGATGACCCTGCAATCACGATTTGGTCATTACCGAGGACAATATCGTTTAATTTTGCCACAATTGCAGTAACCGTTTGGATCAATACATAAGTGCCGACCCATATAACCCATTTTGTATAGGACAAAATATAACGTACAGAGTGTGGCAAAATTATCTGACAGTTTTCTTTGCTGCCCTGTCGGGCGAGTGACTGGCGGAAGGTGGTGGGGATAGGGGCGCTTCAAGGCCTACGAGCGGACATTTTTAGTTGCCATGGAGCTGGTCATCACTGAAACAGAAGAGTATTTTGAAGGCTTTTCAAGTTTGTAGGGTACTATTTATTTGGACATAATTTGAACGAGGTTGGAGAAACTTTAAGATAAGTGTATAGAGCTGAATAAAAGGAGATTATAGCAAAATAAATCAAATTTATCACAACAAATTGTGTTATTCTATATTCTTCTAAGGTCTTATTGAACCACGCTTGTACTAAATAGGTACCTTATTGATGTATGAGAATTTTTTGTTTCAACTGCTTCTGTTGACAGGGGCTTTTCCATTTGTCTTAAAATTATTGTTGTTTCAGTACTTACCAAATGTAAAAACTATGACATATTCAGAAAAATTATAGTTATGGTGTCAAAAAATATAGCCTACATTTCCTAAAAAACAAAAGCAAATTTTTGGGCACCTCTCGAGTTAAAATGCTGGTTAAATACTAGTAATTCAGGAGGGTTATGCGACATAGGCTTGGGGGCAATGGACACGGCCCTGGTTATATAAGTATTAAATTTAAGTAAATGGCAAAACTTACCATTAGTTAGTTCTCTTCAATCTTAGTCTTTACTTCGCCCCATCCTCGATCTCCTCTTCCTCTGGCACCTCTCCCCTGTATTCTCCAATGTCGGAGGATATTAATTACAACGCCCCCATTTTACTGGTAGGCTTCAGTTCTGTACAGAAATATTGCAAAAAATAGTGTTATACAAATAATTTTAGTCCAACAAATAATACAAGTGTGTACACTCCTTTCTATATTTGCGATATTCAAATAGGTACAGCTAATAGGAAAATGTTTGAGCAAATCTGGGTCAAGTTAGTACAAATATTAGAATTTGTAACAATAATTTGGTTTAGACAAAATAAATTGGTTTAACTTGTTCGCTACCACAATTATATGGAATTTACGTTCGCATAGACCACCGACGCATATTTGCGTCAGCTGATCACATTGAAATAGACTAACGACGCACACTTGCGTCGGTGATCAATGTTATTAATCAGCGTATTTCTTAGCAACGGTCTATTTTAAAGCCCTGATTTTATCGTATCGGTCTAGAGGGATATCTGCCGCAAATGTGCGTCGCTTGGTCTGTGGATATGACGATTGGTTACGTCACACAATAGTTGGCAACATTGTTGTTTACATTGTGCATTCCGCGACATCTCAGAACAGATGTAAACGTTATAACCTTTGCAGTTTTGGCGAGTGGTGGAGTTTCTTTATTTGTTTGTGTAAAAGCTTGAAACAACCAAATTTACAACGACGCTTAAACGTGTGTCGCCTGGTCTATTGAAACGAAAATGTAGGTAATCTTTTTATCTAGATTTCATTAAATAAACTGACCGACGCATATATGCAGCGTTTTGAAAGTTGCTCCAAACGATAAATAAAAACAATATTTATTGCTTACTTATTCACTTAAGGTTAATATGAAGTCAATTCGTCCATTTAAACGATATTTCTCTTTTGGTCTGTTGGCAATGTTATTCCTATATCACTTGGTCTGTAAGCAACGTCATGATCATTCCTTTTGGTCTGTAGGAGTGACCGGACCAACGCATATGTGCGTCGCTCGGTAGCGAACGTGTTAAACATTAATTATTTGTTATTTCCCAATTTGCAAAAATGCAAGCTCTAGCCTAATTAAGACATTTCCAAACAACATGTTTCGAGATGTATCCAAATACATTTTAAGTAGGGGCCTAGTTTTAATTTTTTATAAAAAAAACTATAAATTTGCATAAAGATTATAATTAATTATCCTTATGTTCCACCAAAAACTATTAATAATAGTTTATTTGTGTAGGTAACTAGTGGGCGAAGTGGCACTTTGCTACACATAAGAGAAATGTTTACGCACGAGCCGTAGGCGAGTGTGGAAAGTTTCTCGAGTGCAGCAAAGGCAGTTTGCACTTGTGTTACACATTATATTTTCCCTAAAGTTACCATAAAACATATAAATAATTAGTTGTTCAAACTCTGTTCAACACTAAATGAAATGATTCAGTTTGGATCAGTTTCTATGGTTGTCGATAATATGGAACCCACCCAAATATGGACAGTAAGTTTAGGCCTAGGACATAAAAATGCTCTTTCCATTTATGATAACCCAACCTAACATAACCGCCGCAAAGCGCTGTATAGCCTATCTGTAGCCTCTGGATAATACTTACCAAAGTACCGATTTGAACATTGAATAACTTAGTTAACAAACATAGCCTAGAATCTATCACAAAGGGGAAAGAATGTTCACCTCACTTAAGTTATGGTTAGACCAAGTAACATTATCACGGCAGTATGGTAATTGCCTCCAGGGTCCACAACTCTGGTCTCTCTTTCTCTCTCATCTGCAGTGATGTCGATGGCAATGTCGTCCAGAAAGGTTAGTCCTCTTAACTTATTGGTTCAAGACAATATTTAAAATAGAGACCAATTTGGGTTCAGGTCAAATTACAGCCTTTGCTCCAGGATCATCTATAAAATTAACATTGATGTCATCAGCAATGAATTATATAATCCAAGTCTAGTCTTACACCAAATACAAACAGCTCTAGAATATTTGACAGCACATAATTTTACGTCCTACACTCATTCCAATGAATATATTTCTTTAATACTTTCTTACTTATTACTTGGCGACCATACAAAGTATAGTCTGATTTTTACCGGAGTGCGGCTGGAGCTCAGCCCTACCTGTGAGGGACCCGACTCACGCACGCACACTCACCACCGTCCTAATTGCCTGAAAGCCCCGATCCCCTATTCACTAAGTAGAAATATAAGATCTGTTGTATGATACCTCAAAATTGCAATTCATTTGATTTTAGATATACAGTAAAATGGTTAGTGTTAATAAATTTGTTGTTTAATTCAATGAAAAATGAGTCCAAACACGAAATGATTATGACAAGTAGCTAGCTAATAAAAACGTGTTAAAATATTCGTAGCTTTTACACTTTGTAAGCAAAATATATATTGTTTGGTAGGTATCATTTTACTAAGCATTTTGAGCTGAAGTCAAAATCGTTACCACATTTTATAACAAACGTAAAATTAAAAAAAAATATAGTTCAATTTCCGTGAGCCAGCGATGACTCGTGCGGCAGGACAATGGTCCGTCCCACGTCCGTCCTAATCCCTTGCGTCTGTGTGTGTGAGGCCTGCGTGTGTGAGAGTATGGTCGACCCTTCAGCCAGCCGCTTTCCGTCAACAATCACACTATAGGTACCGTATTTTAAGCCAAGTATGAATGGAAATGAGTGTAGGATCAGGATGAGTGGCGCGATCTTGTAGTCTTGTTAGTGACTAAGGCCGACATTCCTTAGACACAGCTGTTAATTAATAGCCCATACAGCTAATGGCAACTAAGGGACCTACGGTTTATAGTGGAATCCGAACCACATTATTGCCTTGGTATATACAAATTGGTCTAATTATCAGGATAGTACTGCGGATAGTCGTAGTACTCACTCGTGCGGACGTTAATCCACACCAGGGAGTATCGCATCCACAGTGCATGCCTATAAATATCCACAATTCGTGACCTCCTAGTAGTTGGATTACAGGACGACGCCACCCGTCCCAGTCATATTGATTATTTCATTCAATAAACTTAGGCCTATATCAATTTTGGGTAATGTTAGGGTAAAACTTAACCTAACTAACGGAATGAAATATTCAAAATATTAAATAGTCTTGTATTAATATCTTTCATTTGAATGAATGTAGGACATAAACTAAAGTGCAGCCAAATATTTTTACATAAACAAATTTTTAAAGTTGACACTGGGTCAGTGGGAAAAAGAGACAATCCTAATAGCCTAGGGATAGTGCCTATTCAAACATTTGCTACAATATTGCTTGATGATCCAGAATTAGCCTACGAATAAGCTGTATCTTAGGTTCTTGTTGGTGACTTACCTAAATTAGTGTCTGGTAGGACTACTTAATGTTATTAAGTTATCACGTTGATTACGTTTTTTACCAAATAAAAATTAACTTATTTCACATTATTCCTTTAAAAACTAGTGTTTGTAACACTCGAGTCATCTATTTTCTTGTAAACAAGGAAAGAAATAAAAAAGATAAATATTTACTATATAAAAGTTTTTAGTCAATAAATGGCCAGCTTGAAGATGTCCGTCGGAATTCGGAATCAAATATTGCGAGTGCGACTCGTGAGTTGAGGAACTGAACGATGAATTAGAACAACTCCTTTTCAAGAGTAGCTCCGAAGAACGGGTGCTTGTCGATATACTGGGACTATTTCAGTGTCGACAAAATGAAACTATTTCATTGTCGACAATATGGGATGTCGACAATTTGTGGTGTCGATCATTTGCGACGTCGGTTATTTGGGATGTCGGTTAAGTGGGAATATTCCAGTGTCGACAAACTGGGAATAATTCAGTTTCGATCAATTTCTACGGTTGTCGATATTATGGAACCCACCCAACAACGCAATGATCAAAAATGTCACATCGCAGTTGCATGCTACGAATTTACCCCTTCCACTTCTATTTAAGGAAACAACATTAACATTATTCTTCTATTCTTCCTATAATAAAAAAAAAAATATTTATATTTTACATTTTTACAGAACAAAGTTTGGTTATAACAGTTTTGCCTGTATTTTACTGTTTCGGTGAGTTGATTGGTTTCTAAGCTTATATAATTACGAAATTTTATTCATAATAACCTTTCTTATTACTTAAACCGATTGGATGTTTGTAATGTAAGAAATCGGGGTTTATACTTTGAACTTTGAGGTTATACTTTGCGTCATGCTTGCTTGTGTGAAACTGTGAAGTGAAGTTACAAAATGGTGGTGATAACAGAATGAATTTAATTAGAATTTTTATTACTAAGCAATTTTGCATTATCCTATTTCTTTAGAGTTATTATTCCTTAACCAATGTAGCTATGTCTATCCCTCTTCATTTCTGATTAAGGATGGAATTTCTACTGGCAATAATCTCATTTTTGTCGTCTTTCATTGTGGTGATAGCTATTGTTTGTCTGGGTGAGTAACAACCTAAACCCTGCATAGGCCAATAGGCCTAGAAAACATTTAAAACTCTTGAATTATTCTCCCATCCCAAGTGGAGGTGTTTAGGGATAATCTAGTAAAACTACGACGAAAAACGAATTTAGACTATAAAATAATCAAATGTATTTCTCATTTGTTTTCATGACAAGGAACAATATTGGACAACAAAAAAGACAGCTGATAGTAAAAAAACATTCACATCATCTGTAGTATGACTATTACAAATAACAAAAGGCAGGCATTTTCAACACTTTCCCTTATTTGCATAGTCATGTCGAGAGTACAAGAATTTTTTGCAGGACTTGAAGTCTTGGTTGAGGTAGAGGGTTTGTTTCATCATCAACAAGAGTAACTTCGGCAAAGTTTGACGAGACATAATCGTTTAGCCACTCGGGTTGCCTTCTTTCCCGAGTCGAGTGCCGGGTTGCAGGATCGTTGGATAACTCTGCATCTTCACTATCACTGCTACTTGACGTGTCCTCAGTTGGTATAGGCTCATCATCACCCTTCCCTGGAGAACTAGGCTCGTCAATAGTCTCTTCAACTTCTTGCCAATCTTCCTCGACGTCATTGGTTTTCTCAATCTTGATGGGCCACTCAACTTTCTTGTCACAGTCTCCAACAATTTCTTGAAAAATGACGTCACGATAAACTACGATAGGCCTATCTTTTCTCTCTGGAACATAGATTCGATATCGTTCTTCGCCATCGTATCCAACCAGGTAACCTACTACAGATTTCCTGTCCATTTTCCGCCTCCTCTGAACAGGAACATGGACGTAATTTAGCACTTTGAACTGACCACTCGCAGATGTTTGATCCTCGGCTTTCGACCAAACCAGAGCTCAAAAGGTGATTTGTTGGCAACTGCTGACTTTCCAACTTGATTCAAAACGTAGCCAGCAGTGATGACAAGTTCCGCCCAGATCGCTTCAGGAAATGTTACATTTGGATTGGCGTACTTGAAGGTCTGGACCATTTCGACGATTGTTCTGTTCTCTCTCTCCACTGCACCATTTTGTTCGGGTGTATACGGTGCTGTCAGACGTTGGTTAACACCATATTCTCTGAGAATTTGACGAACTTCAGCGTTGTCAAACTCACCACCGTTGTCGCTGAGAAACTCTCTGATGTGATGACCAATTGTATGTGCTTTAGCCAACACTTCACGCAACGCTTCCTTCACAGCAGATTTTTCCCTTGCGACAAAACAGTATCGGTACCGGTACCTTGAAAAGTAAACTTTTATGACGATCAAGTATCGGCGAACTCCAAAGGATGGGTCAAACGGGCCGCAAACATCACCGGATAACAACTCACCGGGGGCTGAGGGGCGTTCCAAAATGGTAGACTAATGGTGGTTCAAATGGTCCTTGATTGATGTGATCAAAGACTGGACCTATTAATTGTAACATATGCTTCCTGAATGCTAATACATTATCAATTCACCCACTATCAATCCAATATTGGGTAGGTGTATGGCTCTGGGCCCTGGGGAGTGGGATTCTTGGACAGGGATTTTTCCCTTTTCCGGTTATTTCTCCTATTTTTTTTGGTAAGGCAGTACAAACCCATGTACACCCCCTATTTTTGGGGCAAGGAATTGGTTGGAACAAACACCATCCTGTTATCTGTCTTCGTTTTTTAGTTATAAGGGGGTTATAAGTTATGCATACGCTTTTAGTTTTAGCAAGTGTTTTTATATTATTATTTCATCATCTTAAAAAAATGCCAATGGTGTGGAAACACAAATGATTAAATTTGAATTGATTCAGAGTAAGCCTATATAAAATACAAGTCCTTTGAAAGACAATAGGCTATATCCCCAAGAGCCAGGGTTGTCCTTTTTACAGCATGCCAAAAAATGTTTAGAAAATTATGGTATCAGCCTACTGCTTGCCAGTACTCAACCTAAACCCGCCTGTTTAACTTATATTCAGTCACAAAAATGATGTTGTGATCATTTTTAATTATACAAAATAGATTGTCAACTAAATTATTTTGAAATTGACTTAATTAGCTTTGTAAGTTAACTTAGTTTAAGGTTGTTTGAGAATCCCACACTTTGCATCTTTTACGATGCACATACCTCACCATAGGAGTACAAGCATATGACATGGCCATTGACGTAATTGTGTGCCATCTTTGGAACCATGGCAATTCCATGTGCCAGGTTCGCTAGTATATCTGAATTATGAGTAGAATCAAGTTTTATTTACAAGTACACTAACACAATCACTACCGGTACTTCTTTATTGAAATACATAGGCCTAACATAATTAATTTTTTTTTATTTAACTAACAATTTCTCTGCTAGGCCCCTTGTTATCGGTTGAATTCCAAAAAATATAATTTCATTTTCAATCAAACAAGCAGTGGGAAATGAATCCAGTTATAAACCAAATGTAAGTTTCAAACACAACCTTTATATTATGAAGTTTGTTTCCAAATAAACACTTCAAACCACTATGATAGTTATAAACAAGTAACTAATTTTGTTTGTTTCAGGGTGGTACCTTGTTTGGAAAGTGTTCCTGTCCAACTTCAGATTCGTCAGAGAACTGTTAGGGGGAATGTCTGATGCTCCCCCAGCTGAAGAGGAATCTCGTAAAACAAGAGTAAAGAGAATCCGTCGGGAGTAACTTGAGAATTTATTATTTAATATTTATATCAGGGTTAATAGTTTTATATAAATATGAACATCCGTTGTGCAAGACCTGACGATCTTATGAACATGCAGCATTGTAATTTGTTATGTCTGCCTGAAAATTATCAGATGAAGTATTACTTCTACCACGGGTTGTCCTGGCCGCAACTCAGCTATGTGGCGGAGGACGAAAAAGGTCAGATTGTTGGTTACGTGCTCGCCAAAATGGAGGAGGATAGCGAGGACAATCCTCATGGCCATATAACCTCTTTGGCTGTCAAACGTTCTCACAGGAGGCTAGGCCTCGCACAAAAGTTGATGGATCAAGCTGCACTGGCCATGGTGGAGTGCTTCAAT